TTCTTTTCAAATTAATAATAATTAATAATCTGCAGTTTGACAGTTGAACTTGGTAAAACTTATTGAAGTAAAAAACCTTTTCAGGTTAACGAGAATCATAATAAAAACATGTTTTGATCTTGTTTAGGATATTGGTCTTAAAACAAGATAAAAAACATTTTAGCTGATATAAGACTGTAAAACTTGATTAGATGAACAGTTTTTACAGTAAAGTGCCTCTACTGCGTAGAAGATTAAATAAGCTTCACTTTAAACCTGGTTGGGACCAGGTTAGTTTCAGAGCACTTGTTACCATGAAAACATAAGTGCTTCCCCTCCCATGCAGCCAATTCAAGGCTTAATTAATTCAGGTTTACACCAAAATCCTGGCTTAATCCCTTATCCTAGGTTTGTGCAATAGGCCTCTGGCCCACACTGAGCTGACAAACCACCAGCAGCAGTCAGTTTGACACCAGTTCTGGCCCACACCTGTCTGCTTTGTCAGTCAGATCATGTCTTTTCAGATTTTCTGTTGCTGTTTTCCAGATTCAGATAATTAACCGTTAGCCTTACAATGCAACATTTGGGTATTTTTTGTATCAACTACAGATTCATCTTTTTGATTGTCTTTATAGTAGTGCATTAATTGTATTTTTAATTTTCCTTAGAACACACTACGGCCCTAATTATATGACAATGTTTTTGAGTGTAACTGTAGAATTTCAACTGCAAGTCGACATTTGTGTAAACAGAAATAGTGTCTGTTTTCTCTGATGTGAAAACTTCCTAAATCCAAGTCTCAGAGTAGAGATTTTAGGAAACACCTGTCTTGTGTGAGTAGGTGAACAGTAAAAGAGGAGGATATCAGAGTGGCCTTTTACAACACGTTGGAGCAACAAAACCTCATCCGCAATCAAGTGTATATCATATATTGAATTTTTGTTTTATTAGAAAACAGTCACTGTGACTCAGGAGAATCTGAAAAATGTTGGTATGGAATATTTTTTTCTGTGACAAAACCGATCTTTTGTTTGTCGCGGGCAGTGGACTTTGTATGCTGAAGTCCACTTGTTTATTTCCAAATAAAGTGGTTGAAAGAAAAAATAATAATCCAGGCATTTAGTGGCATCCACTTGTGACTGAATCATTCAATATGCACATTAACAACAGTTGTAAACAGCCTCCTCAGTGGCCACCTTTGTGCGACCACTTACTAAGATCACAGTTATTATGCCTGCAGAAGCTGATGAGTATGTTGAACTTTCCTCGCAGGGGCCCCGGGGGTCCGTGCATTATCAGTTTTGCTCAGGAACACAGCTTGAAGCCAAAAGGTTTTAACAGCTTTGTGTTTTGCAGCTGAAATGAGCAATTTTACTCATTTTTTTCTTTTTTCTCTCTAAGTTAATAAAAGTCCACCAAATAAAGATAAGACCTAAAAGAAATGAATAAATACCAGTGGACTTGAATCTCACTCTGCTTGTACACTGCAGCTACTTCACTTTATTACTCACAAGGGAACATAGCTTCATAGCTGTCTATTATTCCGAACTAGATCTTGGCTCCAAATTGTGCCAACTGTTCTTATGTGTGCGATCAAGCTGGAGTTTAAGGTAAACAAACCGCCCACCATCTTCTGTCCATTCAGTGACAACAGTTATAGAATACAGCGAAGATTTGTTCTCTGTGTGAATCGTTGCTAATCACATCATCATGCGGCCTCGTCCCTCATGGCTCTCTCTCTCTCTGGGGTTTCGCACTCCTCCCTGGCCTTTTCCTCCTCACCCACTGCTTTTTCCACTCAGTCTCTGCCTCTCTGCTCCTCCCCTCATCACTCGCCATCTGAGGCTGCTTGCACGCGAGCCAGTCCTCCACACGGGTCAGCACGGTGACGCCTCTGACGCTGAAGTAGTCACCGTTATGCAGACAGCTCCCATCATGCATCCATCGTCCAGCTTTTCTGTTGAGCTTTTGTACGGGCACAATGCAGAGCTTTAAAGGTTTTGTGCTTGCAACTCAGTTTGTCATCAGAATTTGTGGTTGTAAATCAGAGTCTGTTAGAAAATGGGCTGTGTGTATGTGTAAAAATGTATCCATGTGTCAGAAAAGGTATTTCTAATATACACTGTATATATACACTCGAGGAGTAGAAAATTATATTCTTGAACATGTATTTACAAATGGAAAAAAGGATATCTTCAAAACTAATTAAGTTTCCGACACTGAGCAAGAAAGCCAGGGTCAAAATTCTCCCTTGACTTGACAGAGGTGAAAAACAAACACCTTTAGGTGCTGAATTCTTCATGTTTTCTTTATTTTTTTGCTTTATTTTTTGCATTCCCACACAATTTTTGGCTTTGTATCCACAAATAAATGTTCACAAAAGCACATATTTTATTTTTGCCTGAGTGTGTATAAATGCGCTACAAATACAAATCTTTTTTTATGAATGCATTTTTTTACACACTCACAAAGTCCAGTTTACAACTATGGAACCTGACTTACAGGTTTATGTTCTGATTACTAATAAAAACTCAAGCACAATTTTTAATTTTTTTTATTGTATCCATACTTCAGATTCTCAGAATATTTTCACATTAAAGAAGTTTAAGGGAGTTTTGAGAAAACAGTGCAGTTAGCCTGAAAGTCTGAACAAACACACCTTACAGGTCCCTCCCTCTTTGCTCCCTGCTGCCTCTACAGCTCCACCCCCCACAGAGCAGCCTGCCATGAACACGCAGGCTGGTGAGCAGTTCAGCACACTTTCAATCGGCCTCAGTCTCTTTCTGTCTCATCACTCACCAGTTCAGCATTATGCATGTTTATGCCAAGTCTGATCTCTCCTGACGTTCACGAACGATCCAGACCTTTTGAATGGCTCCTTACAACAAATGACAGGGACAATGGGCCTCATGCAAGAACCGTTCGTACGCACAGATTTGTTCTTAAGTTGTGCGTACGAGTGATTTAGGAGAATTTGTAGCATTCACCAATGTTTTCGTATTCCAAGTTTTTTTCAGATACAAACAAAATTCGGGAGTGGTGAATGATTTAACACAGTTGTTTATACTTTTAGCAGCTCTTTTTATTCCACAGCTGACCTGCAAAAAATGACAGATTTTCTT